CCTTCTATTTGCCAAGGAGTGATGGGGCCGGATGCCATGATCTTAGTTTTTTTGATGTTGAGCTTCAAGCCCACTTTTGCGCTCTCCTCTTTTACTCTGAGCAAGAGGCTCTTTAGATCCTTTTCACTTTCAGCCATTAGAGTGGTATCATCTGCATATCTGAGGTTGTTGATCTTTTCCCCAGCAATCTTAATTCCCGCTTGTGATTCATCCAGGCCAGCATTTCGCATGATGTACTCTGCATATATATTAAATAAGCAAGGTGACAGTATACATCCTTGTCGTACTCCTTTTCCTATGCTGAACCAATCAGTTGTTCCGTATCCGGTTCTAACTGTCGCTTCTTGGCCCTTATACAGGTTTCTCAAGAGACATGTGAGGTGGTCTGGTACTCCCATCTCTTTAAGGACCTGCCATAGTTTGTTGTGATCCACACAGTCAAAGGCTTTAGCATAGTCAATGAAGCAGAAGTAGATATTTTTCTGGTACTCTCTTGCTTTCTCCATAATCCAGCGAATGTTGGCAATATGATCTCTCGTTCCTCTACCTCTTCGAAACCCAGCTTGTACTTCTGGTAGTTCTCTATCCACGTACTGTTGAAGCCTAGCTTGTAGGATCTTGAGCATGACCTTGCTAGCGTGTGATATGAGTGCAATTGTGCGATAGTTTGAACATTCCTTGGCATTGCCCTTCTTTGGGATTGGAATGTATACTGATCTTTTCCAATCCTGTGGCCACTGTTGCGTTTTCCAAATTTGCTGGCAAATGGAGTGCAGAACTTTAACAGCATCCTCTTCTAAGACTTTGAATAGCTCAGCTGGGATACCATCACCTCCACTAGCTTTGTTGTTAGTAATGCTTTCTAAGGCCCATTTAACTTCACATTCCAGGATGTCTGGCTCGAGGTCAGTGATTATACCGTCGTGGTTGTCAAGGACATCGAGGTCTTTCTTGTATAGTTCTTCTGTGTATTCTTGCCATCTTTTCCTAATCTCTTCTGCTTCTGTTAGGTCCCTACCGTTTTTGTCCTTTATCATGGCCAGCTTTGCATGGAACGCTCCCTTGATTTCTCCAATTTTCTTGAAGAGATCTCTAGTCCTTCCCATTCTATTGTTTTCTTCTATTACTTTGCACTGTTCATTCAGGAAGGCCTCCTTATCTCTCCTTGCTGTTCTCTGGAAATCTGCGTTCAGTTGGGTAAATCTTTCCTTTTCGCCTTTGCCTTTCGCTTTCCTTCTTTCCTCTGCTATTTGTAAAGCCTCATCAGAAAGCCATTTTGCTTTCTTGCATTTCTTTTTCTTTGGTATGGTGGTGATTGCTGCCTCCTGTACGATGTCACGAACCTCTGTCCATAGTTCTTCAGGCACTCTATCTATCAAATCCAGACCCTTGAATCTATTCTTCACCTCTACTGTATATTCATCAGGGATGCGATCTAGGTCAAACCTGAATGGCCTCGTGGTTTTCCCAATTTTCTTCAGTTTAAGTCTGAATTTTGCAATGAGTAGCTCATGATCTGAACCACAGTCAGCTCCAGGTCTTGTTTTTACTGACTGGATAGAGCTTCTCCATCTTTGACTGCAAATTATATAGTCAATCTGATTTCGGTGTTGCCCATCTGGTGATGTCCATGTGTAGAGTCGTCTCTTAGGTTGTTGGAAAAGGGTGTTCGCTATGACCAGTGTGTTCTCTTGACAAAACTCTGTTAACCTTTGCCCTGCTTCATTTTGCTTTCCAAGGCCAAACTTGTCTGTTATTCCAGTTACCTTTTCACTTCCTACTTTAGCATTCCAGTCCCCTATGATGATGAGGACATCATTTTTTGGTGTTAGTTCTAGGAGGTGTTGTAGGTCTTCATAGAACCGGTCCACTTCAGCCTCTTCTGCATCAGTGGTTGGGGCATAGACTTGGATTACTGTGATGTTGAATGGTTTGCCTTGGAATCGGACAGAAATCATTCTGTCATTTTTGAGATTGTATCCCAGTACTGCCTTTTGCACTCTCTTGTTGACTATAAAGGCCACACCATTTTTTCTACGAGATTCCTGGCCACAGTAGTAGATATAATGGTCTTCTGAGTTAAATTCGCCCATTCCTGTCCACTTTAGTTCACTGATTCCTAGGATATCGATGTTCAGTCTTGCCATCTCATTTTTGACCATGTCAAGCTTTCCTTGATTCATAGATCTTACATTCCAGGTTCCTATGCAGTATTGTTCTTTGCAGCATCGGACTTTCCTTTCTCCATCTAATGTTTTTACTGACTGGATTGAGCTTCTCCATCTTTGACTGCAAATTATATAGTCAATCTGATTTCAGTGTTGCCCATCTGGTGATGTCCATGTGTAGAGTCGCCTCTTAGGTTGTTGGAAAAGGGTGTTCACTATGACCAGTGTGTTCTCTTGACAAAACTCTGTTAACCTTTGCCCTGCTTCATTTTGCTTTCCAAGGCCAAACTTGTCTGTTATTCTGGTTACCTTTTGACTTCCTACTTTAGCATTCCAGTCCCCTAAGATTTCTCCTTACCTCTCCCTATAGGATGGGGGTTTTATAGGACTGGATTTCCCAGTTTGGGGACTTGAAGAGATGGATTATTTATTTATTATTTATTTATTGAATTTCTGAATCACTCAATCCCTGAGTACGCAAGGCTCTGGGTGACTTACAACAAGTTAAAAACATACAAAAATACACATTAAAATCAGCAGATCAATTATTCCTAATTTGATAATCTCCAGATGGCATCTGTGATTTAGTCTAAAACCTACTCTGGACTGTTCTCTCTCATGGGCAGGTTAAGGAGGTGGCCAAAGCGGGCAGAATGGGAGAGAAGAGAGAAATGCCCTTTCTCTGGTTGGGAAAAATAATGCGCAGACTCGAGGCCGACTGCAGCTAAAAACAGTGCAGGAAGGGCAGCAAAATATGGACAATCACTAATTACTCCATGATAACTGTAAAAAAAAAGTAGAGAACAACACACCAGAAAAACACATAATGCCAGCATCAGTTACATTCAAGTCCCGTAGCACCTAGGAAACCAGCAAGATTTTCAAGCTCTAATCTTTTGAGATTCAAAGCTCCATTCGTCAGATATGAACAGGAATGGAGATCTCTTGATCTCCCAGTCAGAAGGTGGGAGGGATGTTGTAACGAATGCTTGTAAAAGGATGCAGGAGTTACAAGAATTGGAGAACAATGCAGGGAGATAGAATATTAACTACAACCATGTAAATAAAGCTGGATAACAAAATTAGAAAACAATACAATAAACACAGCTTAGTGTATACAATGAAGTCAATTCCACCGACAGTAACTACACACGTATTTAGTTGTGTGAATCCCAAAGATGAAGAATTCAGCCCCACAGGGAAATTACTCCATAATACCAGGCTTTCCTTGGTCTTTCAATGCTGCACGTGACTTGAGGCAGAATGAATTGGGAATCTCTCCCCCCCCCCCCCCCCCCCCCCTGTCGCATTATCTGGGATTACTTCCAAGTATGCAGAAATCTGCCTCTTGCTTGTTGGTGGCCCTGTTTTCATGCCAAAGTAATCAAGCACTGGGCCACCTACCTCAGTATTCAAGGGAATGTGGTATGTGATATTATGTGACATCATGCAGGGCTCTTTAACGTATGAAAATGAAACAGAATCTAAGAATGGGGCACTAACACTGGCCGATTTTTCATTTATACATAGCGATCCTTCCTGTGCCTAGTAAATAAGTAAATAAATTTTAAAAATGGAGCTTTGGAGCAGGACATCAAAGGGTTTTCCATTCCCAATCCAGATGAAGTGACGAGTCATGACTGAAGTCCCTTGACCTTCAAGGCAGCACAGTTATGTGCATGTTGCACAGACAGATAAAAGATGGATACATGGGTGAAGAGAGAAATACCATTGTGGAGATAGGTAGAAGAGTAAGTGGATGGTTGGATTAGATAAATAAATTAATAGATAGGCAGTTGGTTTTGTGCCCTGACCTAGATCTCATCAGATCTCGGAAGCTAAGCAGGGTTGGCCCTAGTTAGTATTTGGATGGGAGACCACCAAGGAAATCCAGGGTTGCTATGCAGAGGCAGGCAGTGGCCAAACCACCTCTGGACGTCTCTTGCCTTGAAACCCCCACCAGGGGTCACCACATGTCAGTTGTGACTCCAAGTTCTTCTGGGGTGTTTTACCCAAACCCAAGAAAGCATGCACATATCTCACACTGGATTCAGTGAGGCTTACTCATAAGTAAGCATCCATGGAAATGCAGCCATAATCATGACTAAATTTAGCTTGATTGGGGCCAACATCGCTTTTCCTTCATAAGGGTATAATAAGGGAAATGCATTTAAAAAAACAAAAACAAAAAGCTGTTGAAAGCATTAGGAATATTCCATTGCTCTGTTTCGGGTTACACCAAAAATGTAAAACACACTCTGGCTGCACAGTTTGCCTCCACTTTCAATTCCTTTTGTTCACATGCTTCTTTGCCCCAATTCTCCATTATTGCGTGTGTCAGAAGAGTAAAATATAAAACGATCCACAAGTCAGATGCCATTTTAAGTGCAGCTGGAAGAACGAAGAGCCGCATGCAATGCCCTGAATTCCTAAAAGAAAGGGTAGGATAAAGATGGGACAGATGGATAGAGAGATAAATGTGTGGTTGGCTACTTGGATGGGCAGAATGATGGATGGGTGGATGGAAGGAGGAAATATGAATTGATAAGTGGGAATGGATAAGTGGGCAGGTAGATACATATATTCAGCTTTGGAACGGAGATGAGCACCGCAACTCTAGAGTCGGATTCGACTGGCTTTCGAGCAAGGGAACCTTTACCTTTACCTTTAGATATACATATGTATGATTTTATAGATAATATATTATAGATGTGTTGGTGGACAGTTGGAAGGCTAGATGGGAGTGGGAGGAAACAGATAATCAGATAAGACAGATGGGCAGACAGTTGTGTGTATGTGGTGTTTTACCAAAGACCAAGAGTGCTTTGGGGAGGGGCTGTGGTTCAGTGGAAGAGTGTCTGCTTTGTGTGCAGAAGGTCCCAGGTTCAATCCCTGGCTTTGCCAGCTAAAAGAATCAGGTGGTGGTAAGTGGTGTGAAAGACCTCTAATCAAGACACTGGAGAGCTGCTGCCAGGCTGAGTAGACAATACAGACCTTGATGGACCAATGGTCTGTTTCAATACAAGGCAGCTTCATTGGTATCACGTGTAAGAGGGAACAAGCACATCAGTAAAACACCACACAATCTTTGATACGATCATACCCGCAATCACATCTAAATCACTTTTCAGCCCTGTTTTATTAATGTGCTCAGATTCTTCGGTAACATTAATGGGATGGCAAGAAGCAAACGAAGCAAAGGAGTCAGATGCTGCTGAAACCTGGGTGGTTTCGAAGTTCTGTGTTAGGAATTCTCCTTTTGAAACCAGAATTAATGAGGACCAGAATGCAGTGCAGAGCAAAATCCGCAAACAATAAAAGACCAGAACAGTGGAAATCTGTTCCTCTCTATAACATAGAATATTATCCTCCGCAAAGGATGAACTGATACATTAAAGGCCACCATTGAATGCCTGGAGAGACAATATGGCTGGTGTAAAGATAAAAGTTGGCCATCTATGGCCTGGAGGAAACTGTACGTGGTTATGCGTTCTTCAGTAATGGTGGAGAACAGCTTTCCCCCCCATATATGGCCCTTCAGTCTACTTATCTTGCTCTAGAAACCTGACACATCTGTTCTGAGACCGTGACTGATCTGCCATTCCAGGATTAGGGGTGGTGGAGAAGAAGGGAGGGCAGGCATGTTGGAACACACCATCACTAGGCCCAATGAAGTCTGCCATGCCTGCTTTATTTTAATTTTCACATCATTTTTGGATGGTTGCCAATTAGCCCCGAGACTGCCATTTAATTTCAGCTAGGTATTGCTTTTGGCCACTCAGTTGTGACTTGGTAGCAGCAGGGCTGTCATCAGCATACCCTAAGGCAGAGAGCCAGCGTGGTGTAGCGATTAAGAGCAACCGACTGTAATGTGGAGAATGGGGTTCAGTTCTGCCCTCCTCCATACGAATCCAGCTGGGTGACCTTGGGTCAGTCACAGCTCTTTCAGAGCTCTCTCAGTCAAAAAAATAAGTCTAGCTCACCACCTAGTGGTGCATAACATTAAAAGGCTAAAACGTAAGGTTGCCGGACAATCTTCAGATCTCCTGGCTATACTACACACAGTGCCATATGATAATTAATTAACCCTAAGGCAGAGCAGCTGTCAGGGGTTTTGGTGGGGCCCTTTGCCACAAAGCTCCACAGCCATATGCTGCCAGGCAAGGACCTGCAGGTGGTATAAAATGGAACTTCTGATGGGCACTGTGGTGGTATTTCTATTAGGGTTTCTGTCCCCCTGATGGGGGTGGGTTTTCCCCAATTTTGGGGGCCCCAATCTGCCACTGGCCAGCTGGCTGGCGGGGGAGGCCTGCCCCTGAACAGCCCCTTCCTGCCCAATGTGCCCGGTGTGATGACGTCACCCAGGCATGTCACACGGGGGATGCCCTAGCATTTGGGCAAAAACTGTATGGTGACCATAGAGTTGGGTGACATCATTGCAGCATGCACACAGCATGCATTCCTTGCCCAGGTCCCCCCAAAACCAGGAACTGGCCATGGGTAGTGGAGTATACCCATCTGTCCACAGATGTCGAAAAGTAGGACTTTTCTGCTTCTCTGTCCTGATGCGATCCATTGAGCTCCTCCCTCTTTTGTTCCTGGGGTGGGGGTGGGGTCAGCAGACATTCAGGAATAGCACTGGGAGTAAAACAGGGATCTGTTGTGGGAAGACAGAATCAGCAGCATTTGATGCCCCTTCTTTTGAAAATCAAATCAGTGTCATGTAGAGATTAGGAAGTGGGACATCCAGGTCTGAATCCTCACTTTGCTACAGCTATGTTTCAATCCTGGATTTCCTTCACTTCATTACAGCAGAAGGTGCTTCAAAATTGCTCAGGAGGCATCACACATGTGTCTCCAGAGAGCACCAATTTGGAGCAGGATTGCCAGCATTGCCTTGGCAAATGATGGGAGATTCCGAGGGCAGTGCTGAGAAGGGTAGAGTTTCAGGATGACATAACATTACTTCTGGGAGACACTCTAGGAATCCCCCAAATTCTCTGTGGCGAAGACCACAGAGACATGGGTAAATTCCTAGAACATCAATATGGGGGGGTATTTTTTTCTCCCACTCCTCTTGTTCCCATCCCTTCTGCAGAATGTCTGACCACTGGTGGCAACTGAGAGAGAGAAGGCAGTTGATACTTGAGCCAGAAAGGCTCATGGGAGGAACCTTGTTCTCTCTTCCCCTCCCTTCTGCGAAGTGAATGTCCATTAAGTTGAAATGGAAAATGCATTGTGAAGAAATTGTTCATTAAAAAGGAAAGTATTGTAATTTTATAGCTGGTATTTCATATTTTATGTGGCCTACCTTATGTAGATAGATAGCTAGATAGATAGATAGATGATGGATGCTTCCACATGCTCCGACTCAGTAGCTTTCCAAGACACATAGCAAAACTTTCTAGAAACATATCACAAAGACATGTTGTTGAGTGGGAGGCAAAACAACAGAACAAAAATAAAATCCCAGTGGGCAAGAACTGGCTCTGAGACACACCAAAAAATAGCTCTTGGGGTTCTGTCACTATCCCTCTCACAGCACAGAGTATTAAACAATCAAGAAAATGGCACATATCCATGATTCATTTCTGCAACAGCCACTGGGAAACTGGGAGACACTCACATAAAAGCCCAGAAGAAGCAAAAATAGCCTCAAAGGTAGAACTGTCACTCAACCAAAATGGCATTGAGGAAAAATGTTCCAGTCCCAGATCTTATTTCGTCTTGGGCATTTAGGCTGGTATGAGTGGGATGCCCCACCTTGCCTTCAGGCACAGATTCTGTAATGCTTTGAATACATGCCGGGTGATTCATCTCACTGTCTGAACAGAACTGTTGGAACAAGAAACACGGCAGGCATCCCTGGTGCTGATCATAAAGGAATGCCTTCTCCAGTGGCAGAAGGGATTGTTCCATACAGCAGATCATCGCACGACACTATTTGGGTTTCCTTCTAAGTCCTGGAGGCTGCGGGTTGGATCTTCTGAGTGGTAGCCTAACCTGAGTTACACCCCTTTAAGCCCATTGACTTCAATGGGCTTAGAAGGGTGTAACTAGGGATGGGCATGGACCAACTGACAAACTGAAGTTCGTCTTGAGTTTTCACCAGTTCATGGTTCGTGAAGTGACGTTCGCAAACTGAAGAACAACTGTGAACTTCCATGAATTTTGGGGTAGTTTGTGGTGGTTTACCCTTGCTTTCCTCTCTTCATGAAAAACAGCTCAGCTGTTTGGTTTAAATGGCTCTGAGGCATTTAAAACAAACAGTTGAGTGGTGGTCCCTGCTGCTCAGCTGTTTGGAAACCCCTGCTTTCTGCTTCCCATGAAAAGCCACAGGGAGCAGAAAGCAGAATCAGTTCATGAATCAACCTCCTGGTTCATATGGGCCCGTGGTTCAGTTTGTGGTTCCGCCACAAACCAAACCACAAACATGCAGTTTGTGCCCATCCCTAGGTGTAACTCTGTCTGGTATGGCAGGATAGGACTCCCACTAAGTGAGGAGTCTTGCCCTGGAGGAACAAGGCTGACAGGTGGAGAAGTCTTCACACACAGCAGGAGGTTTGGTCAGATGGCCTGTTGATCATTTTTTAAACAAAAACTGTAAGATCATTGTCAGTATGCCTCACTTCCTTTCCCCATAGAATGCTTTATGGCAGCATTGCAACAGTTTTGCAACACTGAATCAGCAGGACACATGTACCCTATCTCCTTAGTACGTTTTTATTCCACTGTCCCTCCAAGGAGCTCTGAGTGGACTATGGAGTTCCCCTTTATTGTTTTATCTTCACAACAACCCTGTGAGGTACATGAGGCTGATGGAACCAAGCTCTCCCAGTGAGATTCAAGTCAGAGTGGGGGCTTTAACTTGGGTCTCCTGGATCCTAGCTTGATCTTCTAACCACTGTGCCATACTGACTTTCAAGAAATGACAATGCCTTCAGAAGTAACTGCTTACTGGTATTCATCAAACAGATGGGGTAGATCCAAAAGACTATCAAAAGACTGGACCCCCACCAGTTTAGGAGCTGATCTTTTGACAAGCTTTTCCTGAAGCACCCAAATGACTTCATTTATGTCCAATTGTATGATTAGACTGCTTTCTCACAGCTGCCAGCCCACCTACTTGTCTTCCATTCAGCATTCTTGAGATTATTGGGAAGAACTTATTACTTAGATGTCTCAGTGTCTTTTCCACTGCACAAAGTAGGCAATGCAATAGATCCAATGGAAGTAATTTAAGGGGTGCAATCAACTGTGTAGGGGTGTAAGAAGAGATCTAGACTGTAGGACACGTGACTTCTGTGCATGTGCTGTATTGCTTGATATAGCTCCTGAGATGAATTTTGAGGGAGAAAAATTAAAACCATTTGATCAGGAGTTCAATGTGCATGTAGTTGAGAAATTTCCATCAAGGTAAGTTTGCCTGGCGATTATGTTTGGGTTATTCTCCAGATTCTTAACGGCATCATTCTTGGTTTTGCCATGGACTTCTCAGATAGTCCTTGTCAATCAATAGTTCCTAGTCAAGCACAGAGGGACAACGTAAGAATATAGAGCCAGTGTGGTGCAGTGGTTAGAATATCAGACTAAGATCTGGGAGTCCCAGGTTTGTGCTTACACAATTTCATTTATCCCTATCTATGGCCACACCGTCAGGGGTGGGGACTGCCCTACCGGCACCCAATGGTGGGACTCGCTGTTCTTCGGCTCGGCTTCGGCTCGGCCCGGCTTCGGCTTGGCTCTTCTTCTTCTAGTGGCCTTCGGAGTCGGCTGTTTTTTCCAGTGGGCCCATCTAGAGCATGGTTCGCATCAGCCCGGCTCCGGCTATGTCCTTTAGGCTCTGCCGCGCCTGCATTTCTACGTTCCTGCGCCTTCTGGTTCCGCCTCCGCCGTCATCCGAT